TGCCATGGACACATAGCTTGTCCCCTTTTTTTTTCGCTTTTTGTTTTTTTGGGTATGGGACACAGCTGGGACACAAAAGAGAAGAAAGAGAGAAGAGAGGAGTGACTTGGTATTTGCCCTAACCAGACGAGACGACAAACTTGACAACCTTCGAAGCTCCAACCTTCGACCTTCGACGAGAGACGCCTTCGATCAAGCTCTCTCTCTCTCTCTCTCTCTCTCGCTCGCTTCGTGAGCTCTATTTCTCTCCTCTCTCTCTTCGAACTCTGTTACATATATATAACCTAGAATATTATATAGATATATAACCAAATTAAGCCTTAAGTTCAATCAAATGGGGTCGGCTACATGAATCCTCCTTCTCTACTCGACTCTATCAACGGCCATTTGGTTAATCAAATTAAGAAGATTCATATTTCTATTTACTAAACTAGCCTACATTAATCTAGGTCTACCACTTCCCCTAACACTTCCATCTACCGTTAATGTATCACATCTCTTCACTACTGCCTCTATTGATCTCCGTTGTATATAACCAAACCATCTCAATTTATTCTCTCTCACCTTAGGCCTCGTTTGTCAACAACACATTTTAGCCAAAAAATCACAAGTTGTCACATCACTCTCTCTACTTTTCTGCACATCTTTTCGCACAAAGCCAAAAAATTACTAAAATAGCCTATTTCCAAGCAAGGCCTTATCTTCTATCAGTGATATTCCTACCCATTCACGAATATACTCGTTCCTAATTCTGTCTTTTCTAGTCTTGCCACACATCCACCTTAGCATCCGCATCTCAACAATACTCATCTTATCTATATGTTGTTTCTTAGTTTCCCAACATTCCTTCTCATACAACATCGCTGATCTAATAATCATTCTATAGAACTATCCTTTTAGTCTAGTGGGTACTCATTTATCACATAGTACCCGAAACGCATTCTTCCACTTAAGCCAAACCAAACCAAACCAAACCAAGCCAAGCCAAGCCTTAAGTCCCATCAAATGGGGTCGGCTACATGAATCCTTCTTCTTCACGCGGACCTATCAAAGGCCATTTCATTAGTCAAATTAAGTAAATTCATATCTCTATTTATAACGCTAGTCAACGTTAATCTAGGCCTACCCCATCCCCTAACACTTCCATCTACCGTTACAGCATCGCATCTCTTCACTACTGCCTCTGTTGGTCTCCGTTGAATATGACCAAACCATCTCAAACGATTCTCTCTCAACTTATCTTCTATCGGTGCTACTCCTACCCATTCCCGAATACACTCATTCCTAATCATGTCTTGTCTAGTCTTACCACACATCCACCTTAGCATCCTCATCTCAGCCACACTCATCTTATTTACATGTTGTTTCTTTGTTGCCCAACACTCCGTCCCATACAACATAGCTGGTCTAATAGCCGTTCTATAAAACTTACCTTTTAGTCTATTGGGTATTCGTTATCGCACAATACCCCAGACGCACTTCTCCACTTACACCATCCCGCCTTAATCCTATGGGTCACATCTGCATCAATCTCTCCCGCTGTTGTGATAATCGACCCTAAATAACGAAAATGTTCACTCTTAGACAGCTCTTGGTTCTCAATCTTCACTTCTCCTCTACTTACATTGTTACTGTTACTAAAATTACACTCTATGTACTCTGTCTTAGTTCTGCTTATCTTAAATCCTTTAGATTCAAGTGTTTCTCTCCAAGTCTCCAACCTAGCGTTAACTCCTTTAGTCTGATCTACTAACATGATATCATCCACAAAAAGCATACACCATGGCACATCGTCTTGAACATTTCTCGTCAACTCATCCATAACTAAAATAAAAAGATAAGGACTTAAAGTTGATCCTTGGTGTAACCCCACAGTAATTAAATATTTTATATATATATATATATATTTTCGTAATCTCTATCCGACTCTCACCATCTTGTGTCAAAGCTCTCGATCAATCCGATTTGAAGATTAATTTTGTGAGTCTCATTCTCTGATTTTTTGATTTTGTTTATATATGAACTTAGATCTATATCTACGATCTCAAATCTGTTATATATATATATATATATATTCTAATTTATATATTATATATTGTCTGTATAAATTTATGTATATTTATTTATATATTATATTTATTGAATTAATGTTATTATGTTAGTTTTTGTTAACAAATAAATAAATGTATATATATATATAATAAAATAAAAATTGCCATGTCCCCTACTGTTTCTGTGTCCCCATTTTTTGGAAATTGTCATGCTCTGTGTCCATGTCCGTGCTTCATAGATGCAAAATGTTCATCGATATTCATGGTAACTTTATAATTTTATTTGTCTTTAATATTTTATTTATTTATTTAACTTATAGTTTAATTAGGATACTATGGATTTGTTAGGATTCTCAAGATTTGTTTTCTTTTAGTATCTATTTTAGTGCTCTAGAATTTTAATTAAAATCTCAGAATTTGTTTCCTTTTAATGTTTCTTAGTCATTAAGAATTTTAGTTTTCCTTATTCTTATTAGGGTTTATTTTAGCCTATAAATAAAGGCTATGACATTGTAATTTGTCGGAGTTCATTAATGAATTTGAGTTGAGAAAAGATATGGCTTTTTGTGTAAGATCGTGGCCCATGTTCATCTCTTGAAAATTATTTTCTTCTCAAATGCTGGTTCTTTTCTTTTGGAACCATTCTTCATAGTTTCTGGTTTAGAATCAATTGAAAAACAGGACAGATTTCTTAATAGCCACCATGCATCACTGAGCTCTTGCATGGTTGGAGGGGCCTGAGAGTGGGTAAGAGTCTAAGATAAGGAGGAAAGTGTTACTGTTCCTTTGTGCTTGATGTGGTGCATTAAGGTAGAAGGGAACCAGCAAGCTTTGAAGTTGTAGAGGATTTTTTTTGTTCTTGTGAATAACAAATTTTTCTTTTGTGCTCGGATTGTAGGCGTTTTGTATAGTGTGGCACCTCGATGATGCTCCTTTTTTCATATATAATTTATTTAAATATAAACAAATAAATGATAGGATGCTCACCCACATCCTCACTGACAGCTGAGAACAGATAATTTAAAGAACAAACTTCTAATACCTAAAAAGGGGTTAAAAACAAGACATTACATGTTGTAAAAAGCACAGATAAGTAACTGAACTAAAACAATAATGACTCATAATCAAGGTTCTGAAAAGCAATTGCGGTCACCGTAACGGTGGCAGTGGTGCGGTTGCAGTTGCAGGGTGTAAAGGCTGTAACGTAACGGTTGCAATAACCGGAACCAATGTTTTCTAACCCGGGCCGGACCGGCCAGTCAAACAGGTTGGACCAGGAACTGGGCCTTGTTCTGGTCCGGTCAACCCCCTAAACCCGGAGTGGGGCCAAAACCGGAAAAAACCGGTGACCCAGTGGTCGAACCGGCAAAACCGGTGACCCGAACCGGGTCGGGAGGGTCAGACCGGTCTTTTTCTTTTCTTTTTTTCGGTTTTACTTTTTTTTTTTTTTTTCTTTCTAGCCATTACAAAAAGGTTACAGTTGTAAATATACCAAGCCACATAGTTATCAATTACCTCACTACACATATTTATCAAAATAAAATAAAAAAATTACCCCACTACACATTTCTCTCTCTCTCTCTCTCCCCTCAAGATTTCACTTTTTTCATTTCTAATGTCACTCTTTTTTCTCCAACCATTGTTGAAGTAAAAATACAAAGACAAGCATTGTCAGGTTTTTCTCCGTTATAAATTATACTATATTTCATCTTTTTCCAACTCATAACCTCCTCTATTTGTTTGGGCAAAAAACGTTTTTCAATGTTTGGTGATGGTGGTGGTAGAACGAAGGTGAAAATGATTGTTATTTTTATTTGATTATTTATATATATTTTTATTTATTTATTTATAATTATATTTTTTAATTATATAATATTAATTATGACGTCACGGTTCGACCGCTTTGACCCGACGGTTGAACCGGTGACCCATTCACCCGGTCCCTTTTTCGGTTCGCGGTGGTCCGGTTTTGAAAACATTGACCGGAACCGTGAATTTTTTTATTTTTCACACAATTTGAAAAAAACTTACCGATACACATTTTTTTTCCATGATCATATTTATTGGGTTTAAAATAAATATTGATCAATTTTTATAAATTTTTAAGTATGATCCAATATATTTCATATTTTTAAATCACTATAAAGTGAGTTTTTTACATTTTATTTTAATTAATGACTTTATATTATACAAAAAATCAATCACTAATTATTATATATAAGATAAACAATAACAAAAGTAAGAGAATAAATAAGAGCCTAAATATATAAATATATACATATTTTAACCAAGCTAAATAGATAATGACCACACTTATTATCATTATTATTATTATTAAAAAATAATATGTAGATAAACACACACAAAAAAAAAATGGTTGAGTGATAGCATTTAAATAGAATAGCATAGGTCTTACAGCTTCAACAAATCAATAATATGTTCTTTATCTTCCCTCCTCTCTCTCTCTATCTCTTGCTCCTCTATCTTCTCTCTTTATCTTCCCTCTTCTCTCTATCCCCCTTCCTCCATTTTCAGCTTTTTTCTTTGTGTTTTTTCAAAAGAAGCCGTTTGGAGCCGTTACGTAATAGTGCATAACAGGCTGTATGTTACGCACCATTATGACCGTTTTGGCCGGCACACTTGTGAATCTCAATCACACTGCAAAAGCAGCCGTAACGGGTGGCGGCAACCACGTTACATAACAGTTGCGGCCGCTTTTTAAAACATTGCTCATAAATTTATAATTTTGGCTAGATATATGCTTAAGTAAATTGTGTCTAAGTCCTCCCTTTGAAATAAAAATTTTACGGAGCAGATTTAATCAGCATTTTTTTCAAAAACGTTTATTACAACATCCACAGTTTTTTTGTTAAGTCTCAAAACCAAAAATAAAAAATGGTCAAGAAAATATTAATCTATGGAACAGAAAGCAATAGATAGTTGATTTACCTTTTCTGTATAATATTCAAAAGTTTTTTTCTTCTGTCCTGCTTCATAGACGTTGCATTGAGAGTATATCTAAGAAACAAAAGCAGAAGGCATATTAGATGAGACAAGAGCCTGTAATTAGAATCGCAGCTTTATTCCATGCAAATATTCTAGATGCACAATGCTCCATATGATATACTCAAGAACCCAATAATCATTTACCTGTGATTCCACACTAGCACAAACAGCATATATGCCCCAGTTTCTGGTGTAATTGTTGTACAGATGAACTTTACCAAATCTAAGACGAGGTTGTCTTTGACGTGTCCCATCAAAGAAACAATGGTGAATGGTCACTCTAATGCATCTGTCACCAATGTGAGTGGGGTCTGCTCCAATAAGCATTGTTTTGTCATGTTGTGCAAAGTAACATCTGGTGCCACAAACAAATGAACTCGTCAGGAAGCAGTATTTCTTCATTGATTAAATCATTCAGTGCAGTAAAATTAGCCCACCTAGAAACAGTAATATCTGTGCTTTGTCTTGTTATATCAATAAGTCCATCATCATAATCACGCAGGCTACATCGGTCTATCCATATGTGCTTAGAATTTGGTTTTATTTGTATGCCATCAACATCATGTCCTCTACCACCTTCGAACTCCAGATTGCATATGATTACATGTTCACATTCCTTCAGCCTCAAGCCTTTACCTGTGAGTTTTATCCGGTGGCCACGTCCATCAATTGTCTTGTAAGATGACACATTCAAGTAAGATGAGAGATGAATGGTGCCTGAAACTTCAAAAACAATCCAGAGTGGTTCCTTTTTACGACAACCCTCACGAAGTGATCCTGGCCCATCATCTGCAAACAAAAACATGGGTATTCACAATATCAAAAAAGCATAATAGACAATTCTGAAAACTTTCCGAAAGCCACATTAATAATGTCACTGAATTTAAGTACAAGACATTATAGACACCTAAGTGGAACCCAGAAACTGATTTTGTGCAAATCCGTTTAAATCAAAAGGTTAACACCTTATTTCTACAAAGTCACGAGTTTAAGGGGTAAATTTAGACTGGCAGTCGTGGTTGTGGGGTAAGGACTGTGGTGGTCGTAGGGTAAACGTGGCGAGGGTGGTTGCAAGTGGTGGTAGGGGGGAGTGGAGTTGGTGGTAATCGTGACAGTAGTGATAATGAACTGACAGTGGCAGTGGCATTAGCATTGGTGTTGTGGTGGTGTCGGCATCTGTGATGGTGATTGTGTGGTGATGGAAGGGTGGGGTAGTAATGGGGTGGTGATTGTGTGGTGGTGTAGTGGTGACAACATTGATGCCAGAGGTAGAAGAGCAGTAGCAGCAATGTGGTGGTAGTGGAATGACAATGGTGGTGGTGGTGGTGGTGCACCTCAATAGCTATGAAGCATGTGTACATATACTAGTACTGGTACCTTACGGGTGCCATCAGTAAGGTAGGGTATAGGTACGGTTGCATACGTTGATAAAAAAAAATATATATTTATTTTTATTTTGAAGTAATGCAAAAATTAGTTAAATGGTTTAGTTCGTCAACTTACAATTCACATTTAATACCAAAAGTAAGGTATAAACCAAAATTAAATGTTATTATATTAAAAAACTTAAAAACCAAAGCTTAATTTTTAAACCACACTAAGCATAAAAAATAATAAATAAATAAATACAAAGTCCAATGAAACTAACTATATAGAAGAAGATACTATTCCGGTTGAGGTACATCTTAGGTATATACCGAGTTCCTCTGGGATACAACAAAAATTAAGAAGAAAAAATTTAGGTATGTGTTTTATGTACCCGATATGTATGCAGAAGTACTATATAAAGTAGCAATATCTGATAAGTACCCGGTTCGATAGTACAACATGTTTGTCAAAGTACCCATGCTTCATAGCTCAATAGTGAGTCTAAGGAGTTGGTAATTCAGCACTCAACATTAACTAAAAAGTCTATTACTTAAAATTTTAACCTATTTTGAAATGACTAATTACACAAAACTCCCATTAGATCTTAATAATTATATAGACCTCTCTTGTGGTTTCTAAAATTACCAGAACTTCCCTTCTCAGTGTTGTCGGGTGATGGTAAGTAACATCAATTATAAGTTTACTATTGTACCCTTCTATAAAATTCTATTTCCATTACTTATTTATTAATCATTCCCTATCTTCATACCCAAACACTTCCATTACCCAAAACCTAACCCACGTCTCCTCCTCTCTTCTCTCATCTCCTCTTCCCTCATTGGCTCACCCTCACTCAAGCAGCAATAGTACTACCACCACCACTTCCTCCTCTCTAATCCGCACCGTTACCACCACCGGTGGCCACAACCTTATCCCCACCATCTTGTTTCCACTAACTTACATCCATTTTTTGCAACATTCATACTATATGGAGCCCCCTTATCATCCAATTCCACCACTATCCCCTTCATCCTCTTTCCCCACCACTTCCTTCTCCATAGTAGCACCACCTAATAGTCACCACCAGAACTTCCCCCACCACATGGGCAGATCTTCTTTTTTACTCCATCGAACAATTACCTTACACGGATTTTGGATTTCAATTTATATGGATTTTGAATTTCAAAATCATGTTCTTACCAATCCCTTACTTTATCTGTTTCTTGAATTGTTGCATTGTTCTGATTTATCATCTTTTTTTGATCAACAACAAAAGAGTTTATTGATAAATCAAAAAAGGGAGCTAGGATAAGGCATCCTCTTACAAAAAGAAAATGAAATACAAAGAACATAACCCTAACAAGATTATCTCAAGCAAAAGCCTACACTCACACACCAACAACCGATCTCTAACAAACAAAAAAAGTAACACCCCAAAAAGAGAGAATTTCCTAAAGCCCAAAAGAAAATTAAGTGACAAACTTTATCCCACAAACAATACACTTCCCAAAATTTATCTTCGAACAACCGGGCATTTCTTTCCAACCATAGAACCCAAAAAGTTGCAAAGATGGCACAAGATCATAGCACTTTGGCTCTCTTCGATCGTCCAAAAGCACAAAAATCAACTAGCAGCATATGCACACCACCTTTTGGTGCTACCCACATAACATTCCTCAAGAGAAACAATTTGTGCCATAAATTCAAAGCAATTGAGCAGTGCAAAAATAAATAATTCAAGGAATCCCCATTCTTACAACACATAATGCACTACTGAGGATTTAAAAAATGATTAGGTCTCCGTTTATGCAATGTATCATTTGTCAAGATGCATCCATGAACCAAGGCCCACATGAACACCTGCACCTTTAGAGGAACACAAGCCTTCGAAATTCTTTTGCAAAAGGAAAACTGAGGAACATAAAGATTATCGATGATTTTATCAAAAAGAAGACTTGTAAGAAAATATACCGGATGAGTGAAGAGCCTAAACCCTCTTATCCTCCAAAAGATGAGCCAAAGAAAAATGATTAATTTTGGACAACAAAGTAGTCAGTTGTGTAGCCTCCCTATCATTAAAATTCCTAGAAAAAACAAAATTCTAGAAATTGAAGCCAAAAGTGAGCAAGCCATGGAAATAGTAGAAGAATTATGAGACCAAGCCACTCTATAAAAAAGTGGAAAATCCGAAACAAAAGAAAATTGACCCATCCAAACATCCTCCCAAAATTGAATGAGTTCCCAATTGCCACCCTTATAGAAAGATAACGAGACCAAAATGTGTAGATTTTGATAAATTAATTTCCAAGGAGCATGACAGTTACCCTCAAAACCACCTGTAAATTCCTACCATTGCCTTGAGTCCCATACTTGCTTCTAATAACCGAATACCATAGTGAATCACTCTCATTTGTAAATCTCCATACCATTTGCCAAGAAGAGCCATGTTCCTAACCACAATATTACCAATATCCAAAACCCACTTATCTTTAGGCAACGAAACTAAATCCCAATTCACCAAGTAATCCTTCTTCCACTCATCCTTGCCTTCCCAAAGAAAATCCTTCATCAACTTTTCTAAAGACCTTGCCACCTTCACTGGAATCTTGAACAAAGATAAAAATAAATGAAAATACCACTCAAAACAATCTTAACTAAGGTGTATCTACCCTCACGCGACAGTAAAGCCTTACTCCACCCTTCCAAACTCTTACCAATCTTTTCCACTACTGGATTCCAAAAAGATTCACATCTAGGATTACTCGCCAATGGAAGACCCAAATACTTGAACAAGAGTGTCTCGATACCACATCCTAAAAGTGCCACCCTACTTCGAAGCTGATCTTGCTGCATATTAATGCCCACCACACTACTTCTTTTCCAAATTGACCTTAAGCCTTGAAATTACCCCAAAAAGTCTCAAAATCAAAAAAAATTAACAAGCTGTCTTTCAACCCCTAAAGAGAAAAATCTGGTATCATCTGCATACTGCATACTGCAAGTGTGTCACACTAATTCTATCCCTCCCAACCTCTAGTCCCGCAAAAAGACCTACTTCTCTAACTTTATCAACCATCCTTCCAAGCATGTCAGCCACCAAAATAAAACGAAAAGGGAATGGTGGATCCCCCTGTCGTTACCCTCGCGAAGCCAAAAAAACATTCCCCTGGTTTACCATTAACTAGAACTGACATATTATATGTCGACAAACATCCCCTAATTTCAAGTTGGTTATTCTTCACCTACACAAGCTGAGGTAGCCATTCAAAAATTAGGAAAGAGAAGGAATGGGTTTGTCCATATGTGACGGATATGGGTAATTATATATATATATATATATTTTTTTTTAGCACCCTGTTTCATTCGAAAGTAAGCAAATACATGGGGGGCGGGGCTATAGGGTGGGAAGTTGTCTCCTTTGAAGAGGATAAAACAAAATTGTTTGCAATGGAGTGCTGGTGTGATGGCCAATCATACTTTTCACCTTTGAAGTGTTTGACAAAATGTGTCAACGATGGTGTGAAAGCACACAACAAAATAAAGCTAGAGTCAGCATTCATATAAATGTGTATCACTTTTTAAGCAATGAAAGGTTTAAATTTAAACCATTTTTCAAAAGACATGGCCTAGGTGTATTAGTTTTGAAGCACTGCTTTTTTTTTTTTTTTGGCCAAAAAGCAAGGAATGTAACTTGACTAAATTTATGGCCCAAAAAAAACTATTATGCGTGGATGGGTATGGACGGGGGACGGTAGAATGGGTCTACTTCCTCTCACTCTATGCTTCTATCTCTTACTATATGCATTGTTTACACACATATCTATTTCTACTTAGAAACTGGTCAGTGGTTGTGATTGTTTGGTGAAAGTGTCAATGGTGAATACAGAGATCAAAGGAAAAAGATGAAGAAGATGGTGGCGTCGTTGGCGAGAAGTAAGAGGCGAGAGAGAGAGAGAGAAAAAGAAGATGAGGGAGGCAATACTCTCATTGTCACCAATAAAAACTGTTTTGTTAGAGATAAGGATAATTTTGATATTTAGTTACCAAAGTTCGCTGGCATAAGCATTTTCTATTACCATTTCTTATGGCCAAACAACAAAAGGGATATATGTGTATATTGTCAACAAAAATAAGAGATAGTGTAATTCCAGAAACTACAAGAGGGCTCCCCGTAATTGTTAAAAATCTCAAGGAAGGTAGGTGTAATTAGCCCATTTAAAACAAAAATACTTTAAATTTTAATTAATATGAATTTTGGTTATGAAAATGCACTTGCATAGAACAACTAGATACATGTTGCTACCAGGGGCCAAAAATTCAGCTTCTGATTCTTTGAACTCATCTTGCGAGTGTGAGTGTAAGGCATTGTGAAGTTTACTTTTAATATCCCATACCCCCTCTCGTTCGACTATTGCAAAAAAAATGAACAAACAAAAAAGGGAAAAAAATGATCACTTACAAGAGTAGAAGATCTTAAAACAAAGCAAAGTCTTTTTCTTTTTTTTTTTGGTATATCCAAATCTATGTTACCTGATCGTTCTGGTACACCTCATGCTCTAAAATATGGTATGATAGGGGTAGGTTTGTATACATCAAATTTAAAAATTTAAAGTCCTTCTAGAGTAATTTTTTTTCTCTATTATGCATCCAATAAAATGTTAAAAAAAAATTATAAAAAAAAAATGGTCAAAATATTTCTATGAGCATTATGATCCATTTTTTTATACTTTTGCCCTGTCAAAACTTAACTCACCTTAGATTTTGATTCATTATATTTGATTTTTTTCTCCTAAGATAACAATTAAAGAAATATATTGTAAAACGCTTTTGGGATCGCTAAATTTATTGTTTTGGAAAGAAAGTGTTTCATGTTTTGGAATGTGCATATGAATACGTAGCGTTTTCTGGAAATATAGATCCAAATACAACTACAGTGCCCAAAATGGTAGAGAAGGGAGGTAGGTGGGGGAGTGGAACCTCCTAGTGATAGTGCTAGAAGGTTTTTATGAAAGGATAATGCAGTAATTAATTATGGATCTTAATTGGGAACTATATATTAATAAATAAATAAATCACACATGACATCCGATGTAAATGCAAAAGGGTTTTGGATTTACATTTCCAGAATCAACAAAGCAATTTCTGATTCACAAACGCAGAATCGCAGACACATAATATACAAACATTTTATGCAACTCTCTCTAATTTTGGTAGATAATCACAATCATGAAATTTTGATGGTTGACATTGAAAATGCAGAACCAATTATATAAATGAAGAAAGTGAAGAAAAAGGGAGAGGATAGAAAGAGAACCGTTCAATGAGGTGACGAAATAGAGGGGTCCGTGGAGGCCACCGAGGGAGAAGCGGCCGAAACCCTCGGCACGGCCGGCCAACGCTCTGAGGCTGCAATCGACGTCTGAGTAAGGAAGCGACTCCATGAGACAGTCCCCCACTGGAGCTCTGGTTTTGTCCAAGGAAGGAAAACAAATAGCCTAACTGAAAAGGGGGGGTCTGGGCTGTCCCCGGTGGTTAAAAATAGGGAGACTTTCAAGGAGAGGTTGACCTAGTGAATTTGCCTGTGTTGTGTCCGTCTGTTTTGGAGGTTTCTCCTCAAACTCTCCGTGGCTGCCTTGGCTTCATAGCGTTTGTCTTTTGTCTAATCACTCGGTTTGCTACGGCGAGTAAGAAATTCTAAAGTTGTGTTTGTCATACTTAAAAAAGTTAAAAAGATTATTATCTTATTTAAGGAGTATCATTTTATTTAAGTAATATTATTTCTCTATTAGATCACTTTAAATTTAATTCATATTTTATAAAAAGTTAAAAAGTATACTTATTTAGATCATCTTAAATCATCACTAAAAATCTCTAATTTAATATATCCAGTCTAATTTGGTAGGTTTTGGTTAGTTTTTTAAATTTGTAATTTGATTCTAGTTGAAAAAATTAGGGAATTGATTTTCGCAAATTGATTTCAGATTTAAGTTCATGGTTTCATATTAAAACTGAATCAAATCATATATAGCTTAAATCATATATGTATCATATACCCTAATGTGTATAATCCTAGCATCTTATATATGATAGTGGGTTGCTCCTGTTCTAGTTGCTTTTTTTAATTATTTAGCATCATTTTAGTTTTGTAATGACGCGACAAATTATTTGTATCTTCTTATAGATTAGAAAGAAAATCTTCATTGTAAAATTAATTAAAAAAATAAAAAAAAAATCATATCAATCTCGTATAACGGTAGTAAAAGATTTTATAAAGAAATAACAAACTTCTATAAGAAGAAGAATGCCAACTTCCATAGAGAAGGAGAAAAAAAAGTCACAAAAGAGGGACACAACTTTCACACAAGGAGGATTATTACAGCAAACACTAAAAATAAAAATAAAATAAAATAGCAAACCGAACATAACCAAATCCAAGTCGCCAAATGCATCTAGAACTCTATTACACAGCAACCTTCAATTTGAAATCTAAAGACCCCACTTTCGATGGTCAAAATGGAACATTGAGATTGAGGTGGTCGCCTAGTGTGAAACGAACGCATTAAACAACGTCATCTTCGAATTGTGAAAAGATCTAAAGCCAGAACTTAAAGTTTTGGGCGCAAATGTGAAAGTTTGGGCACAAGCCAAATATCATATCTAGAAGATCAAAAAGTGGGAGAAGTAATGCCAACATCGGTAGGCAGAAGCTGAACTGAAGATGATGGCAGGTCTAGTGAGGGTAGATTCATGGAGGTGGGAAGGTGGCAAACCTGGTGGCAGTGTGGTAATGTGTCACGATCCAAACTCGCCCCTATAGGTTTAGCATCATGACCGGTCAGTAATCCTAAAATTACCAAAGGCCTCTTAAACATATACATAATATTATAGGCTAGTGGAAGCAAAATATAACCATATATTGTCCATTGAGTTGTGCAGACTTGCATAAGACATAAAATATTTAAACTTTTTATATACACATATTATCACATCATTCATATATCATCATATATACAGATAAGGCCAAAGGAACTTGGCCCTATATACAGAATAAACAAAAACTTGTTTAACAAAATAAGAAAACTAAAACTAAACCTTTAATCACATAGCCTTCACCACTTGACATATTCGGAACCTCCACGGGATGCGCATAGGTTGGCTGACAAAAACAGATTCTAGGAAAACATCTCTAAGCCTGGTCATGCGCTTGATCACCTATATATATATACATAAACAGTGAGTTGGAACCTAGTGAATAACAATAGAGTAAATGTTTTAAATGAATGATATCCATAATAGATTCAGATATCAGAATTCAGATTAGAAATAGATTCATATACATATTCAAATTTTGCATATAGTCATACAGAGTACATTAATTAAATAACAGATCAGATTGGTCATAAAGACCTACGTGCAAAGTAGATGGTCACTAAGACCCTTATTCATATGAGACGGTCATTAAGATCCACGTGTAAATCAAATAGTTGACTATGCATAATCTGTTCCATGAATGGAACCCACGTGAAACCCTAATACCAGTAACAGATAACACATGACAGATACACTTGATACTAAGGATGCCACGAATACATTTCAAAAGTTGGACAATCATTCATGATTCGCAAAATAGCATTTTAGAAAACTGAGTAAATCATGTCATTCGAAAAATACTTATAATCAAACATAGCTTCACAAAGTTGTTACTTACCAATAGCTCCAGAGACAGATCAAACGGACTGTAGCGCATGACCTATACAAACACATAACAGATTATAGATGCTCAAATTTGCAAGATTATAGATTTTCTTTCTACATGATTTTCTTCCATATGAATTCAGCCGACGTCTCAAGAAGCGTCTGTCTCTTCCAACGGATATATTTTTGTGTAAAAATAGAAGTGTTTTGTGTGAAGAAAAAAATCAACAACTTGAAAAGAAAAGAATTTGTGTGCTCCAAAATTTTAAGTGTATTGTATTCTATTCTTTCACTTTTAGATCTAAGTGTAGTCTTTATTCTTACACTTTCATATTTACTCTTTGTGAGAAAATTATGTAAAAGAGGGTTAAAGTACCTCTTATTTTTATTCATTATTTTGAAAGAAAATTTTATAAGGGTAAGGCATTTATTGTTAAGTGAGACTCAATAAATAAAAGTAAGACCTGTGTAAAATCCACAAGCTTGGTGAAACCTTGGTGGTACATTGATTCATTTTGATAATGAAAAATTTTCAAGGAGGTTCCTTGGGGAGTGGACGTAGGACCGGCGTGCTGAACCACTATAAATCTTAGTGTTTGATTTTCTCTTCCTATCTCTTTTACTTTTATATTGATAATTATTGTTTTGTTTTTTATTCTAAATATTGTGTTTATTATATTTTTAATATTGTAATTTTTTTTTTAATAACCCAATTCACCCCCTCTTGGGTTGCCTGCCTGAGATAACAATTGGTATCAGAACCTAGACTCTAGTTTGTGTGATTTAACCATCTTAAAGTAGATCATGGCAACCCATAGTTATTCCTTACCTGAGGGACAAGCATTCAATAGGCCATCACTGTTTAGCGGCACAAATTTTAGCTATTGAAAAACTAGGATGACCATACATGTTCAATCTAATGATTATGAATGCTGAAAAATTATTTGCAATGGTTCAAAAATTCCTACCAAAACATGAAGATGAGTGGAATGAATCAAATACTATAATGATCCAAATTAATGTTAAAGCCACAAACATGTTGTACTGCACCTTAAATGCCAATGAGTTCAATAGAATTTTCACATATAAAACCACAAAAGAAATTTGGGATAACCTTATAGTAACTCATGAAAGAACCGAACAAGTTAAAGAATCTAGAGTCAGTTTGCTAGTCTATAATTATGAACTCTTTAAAATGAAGCCTGATGAAACTATTCCTCAAATGTTTATTCGCTTTACTGATATTATTAATGGTTTAACTTCTCTTGGCAAAATATATACTAATGCTGAAATTATAAGAAAAGTGCTTAGGTCATTACCAAAAAGTTGGGAGACAAAAGTTATTGCCATTACCGAAGCCAAGGATTTATCAAAGCTAAGTCTAGATGAGTTAATGGGATCTCTCTTAACTCATGAGCTCATAATGCGAGAAGGAAAGGAAGAGGAGGACAACAAGAAGAAGAAATGAATAGCCTTCAAATCCACCTCAAAACATCAAGAGGATAAGGAAGATGATTCGGATGATGATGAAGAAATGTCATTCATCACTAGGAAGTTCAAAAGGTTTGTGAAAAAGAAACAAGGCATGCGAAATTTTTCAGAAAAGACTTCAACGACAGGGATTTTCAAAGGGGAGAGAATCACAAAAAATCTAAAGTTACCTGCTACGAATGCAACAATCCTAGACACTACAAATCAGAATGTCCAGAACTTAAGAAACAAGTCAAGAAGGACAAGAAAAAAGCCATGATTGCAGCATGGGAAAAAGATAGTGATGAAAGAGATTCATAAACCGAAGTTTGCAAAAATAAGGTTGCTAACCTATGCTTAATGGCACTTGGAAACAAAAATGAGGTAAATGACGAATCTTTTACATTTGATGAATTACAAATCAACTTTTGATTTATTACATGCTGAATTTAAGAAACTTAGTTTAAAAAGTAACTATCAAAAGAGAGTGATTTCAAGTTTATCAAAAGAAAATAAATCCTTAACTTCCAAGATAAATGTTTTAGAAAATGAAGCCATGAAAATGAAAAAGGAATGAAATTTTAACTCGAAAAGAGTCTTTAATTTATGAAAAAAGATTAGTTGTATTGCAAGAAGAAAATGAGCCTTTAAAAAATGAGCAAATTGTTTTGAAAGAAAATATCGAAAACTTGAAAAATACTCTTTCAAAATTCACTCAAGGTAGAAACTTTAGATAAAATTCTTAAAAATCAAAATCGTACTTTTGGTAGAGCCGGAATTGGATACAAACCTTTTTCAAAAGTAAAAACTGTCAAAAATATTTTTGTGCATGCATCTTCTAGTCACTCTTATCTCACGTGTCATTTTTGTGGTAAAAAAGGTCATATTTCACCTTCATGTCCTGTTAAAAGAAATCCTTTTGCTAAATTAAAAAAGATATGAATCCCTAAGGACATTTCAAGAATGTCAAATTCTAACTTTTATGGACTCAAGAAAATATGGGTACCAATAGAAAAATCAAATTTTTGTAGGTATGTTTTAAGACAAAATCCAGTAACGCTAGATGGTATCTCGATAGTGCATGTTCGAGGCACATGACCGGAAATAAAGCTATATTCGCCACACTCCAACCAAAGGATGGCGGATATGTGACTTTCAGTGACAACAGGAAGGCTTAAATCATTAGTGTAGGTAGTATTGGTAAAAATGCTTCTACTATTATTGAAAATGTTTTACTTATTGAAGGTTTAAAACATAACTTGTTTAGTATTAGTCAATTATGTGATAAAGGTTATAGAATTACTTTTTAGAAAACTCATTGCACTATTGAGAATATCCTAGAAAACAAAACCTTATTTGTAGGTTATAGACATGAGAATGTATATGTCTTTGATTTGCATGATTTGTCTTCTCATTTTAATATTAAATGTTTATTTGCTATAAATAATAATGGTTGGCTTTGGCATAAAAGATTAAGACATG